AGTACATTTATCACAAGTATACTGAATTCAATACAATTCAAAGTTTGTTAAACATCCGTTGCCCATATCAGTAGTCCTATAGGTTATTAACACATAAATGCAGTATTGAAATAGCCTATCTGAAACTACAATAACTCTGCTCCAAAATTATTTGTCACATAAAAGTCGATGGTCACATTTTATTTAAAAGATGTTTTTAGCTTTGACCTATGACTGTTCGTCAATATTAGTAATCAAACGTCGGCTAGTATTACACCTATAGCCTATATAGGCGGAAATACACCCACGTGGGTATCCGGTGGTTCACTAATTGGGAAGAAAAAGGCGGAGTGGAAAGATACATGGCCAACCTAACACACAATACCAAGGCTTAGTAAGATGTGTTAACACCTCATTCCCCAACTAACGTTCAATAATGAATATGGGACTACCTTTACACCCACATTTGAATTTGTACAATACCATAGAGCGAATATCACTAGGGATTGTGTCCTTGATACTGAACATTTTTTTAAAGTTTTGTAGTGGTGAAAACAATGTTTACTTTGAGTTCAGTGCAATGTTTAGTTACAATATTGTGTTATCAACATTTTTTTTGAAATAATACTTTTAACGTAAACTGATCGCAATTATGAAAACAAGTCCTATAAATAAAAACTAACAACCTGCTACTTTGCGGAATGTTTCTGAAATGTGGGAATTAAAAGTTAGATCATGTGAAAATTTTACACCCAAGTCTTTATAATTAATAACTATGCCTAATTGAATGGAATGGAATATTATTTAAAGAATACACAAATAGAAATTTAATTCGTTGATTATGGCTATGCATTTGCATGACTTTACACTTTAGGGGGTTAAAACCCAATTTCCAGGTTCATTGAATCTATTTATTGAATGTATTTATTGTATTGTGTTTTAAAAAAATAAATTTAATTATCATTTAAACTATAGCCTCAAATTCTTAATCGTTTTTTTTTCTAGGTGGCCTTAGCTTAAGCGTCTTCGGACCTATACAAGCCTTCTTTCATTGTTCAATAAATAAACAAACAATTTTTTCTCTTCCGAAATGTAAATAATCTATTGATGATGACGAAATTATTCAATCGATCAACCAATCATTTAGAAACATTTAAAAGGTCATTTTAAGATATTATTGTCATTGCTGTCCTAATTGATCTATATAACTTCTTATCGTCTGCAAGTGCGATTTGAGTGCCAGGTGAATTAGATTTGTGAATATTATTAATATATAAAATGAAAAGAGTAGGGCCAAGCAAAGACCCCTGAGGTAAACCCGGAAGTACTTTGAGCCAAGGGGATGACTCGCCCTCAATGACAACCCTCTAGACACGGCGGAGAAAATAATTCTGTATCCAGTATTATGCTCTGTCATGAAAAACTCACTCAACAACTGCATTTAACAAAGTTCTTAGATAATCAACAAAACGTGTTATTGTCTTCGCTCTCTCCATACGTTTGTTTGAATCCTTATTGTGATTTAAAAGGATATTTTAGTTTTTAAATTTCATATTTTTCGTTATAATAAAAAGTGCAAAATGCTGAAAAAGTGCATTTTGAAAAAAATTTTGAATGTTTTTTTTTATGACAGGGCAGTCTATAAATAAATAAATAAGTTTATAAATAAATAAATAATGAGGAACAGAATCGAATGCTTTTTTAAAATCTAAAAAAAGTAATATCGCTTTGAGTTCTATGGTTAAGATTGCTTGTTAAATCATGATAAACTTGAATTAGTTGACTGGTACATGACCTTTTGTTCCTAAACCATATTGGAATTGGTAAAGTTTGTCACATATATGCAAATTTAGAGCATCAACCACAAATCGTTCATTTTAGGAATAGTATTAATAAAGGAGATTGGCGTATATTTCTTCGTTATATACATTTATGAAATCAATGGATGAACATAACATAAATTAATAATAAAATTCCATTGATAAGGATCAAGTTAGAAGCAGTTTGGATTTGTCGCAATTGACCCTTACAAAAAAAGTTTAAAAAAGATAATAAAAAACACAATTATCATACCTGTACATATGCGTATACACCTCCACACACGTACACACCCACACACCCCTCCCCCCCCTCACACACACACACCCACACACCCATACACATACACAAAAAGAGTACTTGCAGCATAATCGGGTTCAAAACAAATTCTAACGAATCGCTTTTATGACCTGGAATAATATTAGACTTTTTCCACTCTAACGGTATCTTTTCAAGGGTGAGAGACAGATTAAACAACCTGGCCAGGGGATATGAATGGACATATTTTTAAAAGTCTTGGGGAGATACCACTGGGACCGGAGGCTTTGTTTATATTCATGGAGACTTTCAATATTAACATTTTTAAAGTTATAAACGTGTTTTCGTTTTTGGTTACATTTAAAATTCATATGGAACACAAATGGTAAGTGGTCGGAATTACCTTTAATTAAAAAATGGGAACATCTGAAATAAGCATTGAATTTTCTGACAATAATAAATCAAGTAAAGCATTATTTATCCACACAGCATCAAATACACGCTTCGCAACTCATGAAGAAAATACAAATACTATACCGAATTTATTGAAATTGTCATGTATTACAAAAATGACGAGAATAAACATATTCGGGGGATAAATCAATATCTAAAGATCATAATAATAATTTACGTTAATTGGCTACCCTTCGTACGTTATTGATAAAATTTGCAAACACTATATTGATAATAGTATAACAAACGATACCAAATCAAAGGTTAACAATGATCACGCTTAAAAAGTAATGTATTTAAACTTCCGTTTGGTAAATATTCTGATGATATAAAATATAGAATGCACAATAATGTAACTAATCATTGCACTAGACTTAAACTAAGCATTGTTTTCACCAATACAAAGATAAAAGGAATATGTTTAATATAAAGGACACAATCCCCAGTAATCTTGGCTCTTTATTAGTGAACAAATACAAATGTAGTGGTTGTAATTCCGCCTATATAGGGTATACTAGCTGAATTTGAGTACTAGGATTGACAAACACCTTGGCAAAGACAAAAATTTACACATTATAAAACATCTAAATGAAAATAGAAAAATGCTAAACATTAGCTGATACTAAATACTTTAACGTCATCAAATAAAATAACAGTGAAATTAGATTACGAATAAAGGTATCGTTGCATATTGAATGATCGACTAAAGTTCGTTTTAAGAATACGAGCGTTAAGCTTACAGTAAATCAGTATGCAGTTATAATGCATGTTCCATACACTTTGCATATGATTATTAATAACGATCGTTTCATTAATTTAAATGATAATACGTTGTCTTAAATTAATAATTGATATTCATTTAAGTTCTGTATATATTCGTAGTTAAAGAATGGCGAGTTTTTCGTGTTTTTTTTTTTGTTTTGTTTTGTTTTGTTTTGTTTTGTTTTCTATTTGTACTGAAGATGGCTTGCACTGAAGAGTAACACCCGAAACATGTTTACCATTAAATCCATATTTTTCGGGGACCTTGCCCTCCCAAAATTGTATCTTTCCCTTCCCTAGACTAGACCTGGCCCCTAGCTAGGGTCCTAGGCCTGACATCAACAGTCACGCTTCACATGACATTAATTGAAATTTTGAAAAAAAAAAAAATGAGAAAAAAATTTGAAGCATGAAATTAAAAATGTGCGTAAAAATATATTATTAAATGTTAATAATAATATATATCATTCCGGCATTATTGAACTTGGCCTAAGCCTTGTAATGGAATTATAAATAATAATAATAATAATAATAATAATAATAAGAATAAGAATAATAATAAGAATAATAATAAGAATAATAAGAATAAGAATAATAATAAGAATAATAAGAATAATAAAAATAATAATAATAAGAAGAATAATAAGAATAATAAGAATAATAATAATAATAAGAATAATAAGAATAATAAGAATAATAAGAATAATAATAATAAGAAGAATAATAAGAATAATAATAATAATAAGAAGAATAAGAATAATAAGAATAAGAACAATAAGAATAAGAATAATAAGAATAATAAGAATATGAATAATAATAATAAGAATAATAATAAGAATAATGATAATAATAATAAGAATAATAATAATAAGAATAATAATAATAATAATAATAATAATAATAATAATAATAATAATAATAAGAAGAAGAAGAATAAGAATAAGAAGAATAAAAATAATAATAAGAAGAATAAGAATAAGAAGAATAAGAATAATAAGAATAATAATAAGAAGAAGAATAAGAAGAATAAGAATAAGAAGAATAAGAAGAAGAAGAATAAGAAGAATAAGAATAATAAGAAGAATAATAAGAATAATAAGAATAATAAGAATAAGAATAAGAATAAGAATAAGAATAAGAAGAATAATAATAAGAATGATAATAATAAGAATAATAAGAATAATAATAAGAATACGGGTGCTGAAAAAAATGAAAAACTGCTGTGCCTCTATGCTGCGGGAAGTAACCAAGACATAGCTCAAAAAACCCAGTAGAACATGATCAGAACTGGAGAGAATCGCATATTAATAATAATAATAATACAGTACTAATACTAATAATACAGTACTAATACTAATAATAATAATAATAATAATAATAATAATAATAATAATACTGTAATAATAATAATAATACTAATAATAATAATATAAAATAATAATAATAATAATAATAAAAATAATAATTTAAATATATAATTTCGGCATTAATTAGCCTAGGCCTAGCCTATTACTGTTTATTTTTTAAGATTTTTAAGTTTTGAATAATAAAAATAATATATATTATGATAAGTTTAAAGTTAAGCGAGAATGATGAATGACTGGAGTAGTTTATTGGATGAAGTTGTGAATTCAGACAATTAACCAATTTTAAATCAAGGCTGGAAGAACACTGGCAAAATCACCACCAATATTTTATGTTATACATGAATTTTTTTTTCTTGTTTGTAGCTGTGGACAGATGTGATGCTAGTCCATGTCAGAATGGGGCTACATGTGTCATGACTGCCGACTGCCAAGCCTTAACTTGCACTTGCCCGGAATGTTGGACAGGAGCAATATGCCAAGAACGTGAGTTCATTTATTTGTCTAGGCCTATAGTCCTTCTCTTTGTATATGTAATGTAGTGCTATACTAATACCCCATTCAGACTAGCTTCGCCTTGCGATCAGTTGTAGCAATTGCGACACCCAATCGCAAAGTAAAGTCGTGTCTGAAAGCTCAACAATAATAGTCGATAAGTAATCGATTTCGCAATTGTTACCCATTGCGATTGGGTTGGATTGGATTGGATTTATTCGGTGTAAACACCAAGGATAGCCCACGAAAGTCTAGAAGAATGGCTTATTTCCAGTGGGGTCCTTCTGGTGGTGATTGGGCAGTACACCGGGAGACAATCCCCTACTCTTTTCTGAAGAGTGTACTGCGTTCTTTAACGTGCACATGAGCCATAAATGCTACAATTTTTATTACTCCCGATTACTACGGAATCCGATCACAACGGGTTCCACAGGCACTGATTGGCTGAGGTCAAACAAAACAGGACGACCTATATCGTTGCTAGTGATGTAAAGTATCAAAGTAAAAAGGTGTCTGAATGCTGTCGAAGTTTGCTGTGATATGCTCAATACTATAAAAACGTATTTTTCAATGTGAGGTAACGAATGGTGGATAGGTCTGAGCTGCAATATTTACTTAACAAAACATGTCATGAATATTACCAAAATACTTCCTGCTCCTATTTTATCAGTACAGCATACATACATTCCATTTAACAGATTCAAAGCATTTTCAATCAATAATAAGCGGAATAGTGATATTTTAAGCAATGGAGAGGACTTGAATATCTTGGTGGTTAAGATGCTTGCCTTCTAATCCCACAGCAACAGGATTTTTTCTAACAACCAAAACTACTCCACTCCATAAGCCTTATAATGAGATGAGGGGGACCTAAGTGTTGACAATTAATTTTTTTTTTTAAATAGGGAAAATAGAAAGTTACATTTAAGTTGAAGTCAGAGTACCTTGTTGTGGCAATCAAAGTGCCATAGACATAACATTTTGTACCGCCAGCTCCAACAATAATGCAGTAGTAGTCTGGTTGCATTATTCATTTTCAATTGTTAGATTTCATTAATATGATAAATATAAATAGTACTCACTGGATAAGTTGAGATACTTTAACCATACATTTTTACATTTCTTTATTTTATTTATTCATCTCATTATAGTATAAAACAAAAAAGCAAAATCAATGACACAAGACAGGATTCCCTAAGTAAATTGAATCAAGCTACATTATATGTCTCCTGCATGAGGACTATACAGAAAACAAAGCATAAATATTTAAATATAATTTTTTTGTAGCAATTGACTTGTGTGCAACAAGTACCAACTGTCTAAATGGAGCGACGTGCCAGATGTTAAACGACTGTAACGACACGACTTGCCTGTGTGCTGGCTGCTACACTGGGCCCACTTGCTCTATCTGTAAGTGCAATTTAAAAGGAATGAATGAATATCATTCATAATCATTCATATACACCTTAATGTCTGCATCATGTTTTTAATTCAACAGGATAAGTTTTAAAACAAGATTCAAGTTGAAACTGTCATACAAGAAATGTCAGATTAGAATAGAATAGAATAGAAATCTTCCTTTATTCTGGATACTCAGTCAGTATTGTTCCATTGTTCTTCCCTGAGGTCCAGGGTATTATCTTGAACTACATTATATTACAAAATAAAATTAAAAGAAAAAGGCATAAGATTCATTTTTTTCAATTTCATATACTTTTGTTTTTATAACATATATTATTTATAAATGGCGAATCATCAATTAGTTTAAGGAATAGAATTAGTTTAGCCTCATTGTTATAATTATTTTGTTATTCTTATTTTTAATATTTTTATTACCATAATAATTATTGTACTGTTATTATTATTGTTATTTTATTGTTATTATTGTTATTATTATTATTGTTATTATTTTGTTGTTATTTTATTATAATTTGTATTTTCTCAGTTGGCCTATATTATTTCTGTGTTAAGCGCATAGGGGCAATGTGCAATATGCACTATATAAATATAGCATTATTATTATTAAACAATTTATACAATGAAATAATTATGATTTAAGGTAAATAAAGTTGAAAAATATTTAAGAATGTTATTTTGTATTGTTTTAGTGTTGAACCCTTGCAATAGCTTTCCTTGCCAAAATAGAGGGAACTGCTCACCTGACACCTGTACTGATTACACATGTACCTGCCAAGGTTGCTTCTCTGGTGATAATTGCCAAACATGTAAGTTCTCAATTGATACTTGTTGCTATGTGTGAGGGCAGTCATGCATGTGAGTTCTCAATGATAATGGTACTGTTGTACATAAGATCTCAAATGATAATTGATGTTTCAGCGAGACATAAAAACCACACATTTCGTAATACTTTTAAAATGTTAATTGGATCTCAAAAGATCTAAACCAATTTGAGTATTTGATAGTGTATCAACATGAATTTCCAGAATGATTGGTGCTATTATACATATAAGATTTCAAGTGATAATCATGCATATGTGATCTCATATGATAATGGCGTTATTATAAATGCAAGTTCTCAAATGTTATGCTCAGTTATGAGAGAAAGTCGTTGTGATTATACAAAACGTTAGTACTTAAGAAATTGAATACAGTTCACCATTCAATTCGAGATCACTTTTGTGATCTGAAATTTTGAGGTGGTCTCGGGGTTTGGTTTCCATTGGAGCATTAGCCTTGTGTTAAAATATTTAAGATTGTTATTTGGTCCTTTGAAAGATTGATCTCAACTTAGAGGATTCTCTAATTGGAGGGTGCACGTACTAAGGGCTTAGCCAGCAAGCTGTCCGGCCGTCTTTTGGATGGCCAACAATTATTTAGGATGGCCACTTTTACCGTGACGGCTTGGACGGTTTAGCCTACTCAGCTCGGCCTAGCCTAGTTGTGCCTGGACTGCCTTTAGCAAAAACTATGTCTACACCTTGTAATCAAGAACCTACAGTTCATACTATTTACTAGGCCCATAATTAATAGGCCTAGGCCTCATTCATCGGTGCTCTTCCATTTTGGCAGGTCCTATGGCATCCAATATTTTTAGAGCTGTGAACCTCCTCGGGCCCCCATTTCTTTTGAATTACTGGATCCGCCACTGCACCCCCGCCCCAAATTTCGGACTCTGGCGCTGCCTCTGTTAATGTACTTCTTAGGTCCTTTCTGTGGCATAATTGTACAGAACTGAAATCATGCCGGAAATGCCTGTAACGTATTGCTGATACAGACTAAAAGGGCACAGTGTAGTATCTGCTGTAAGATATGCTACAGAAGCTGGGTGTCTATAAAACGAAAACCCTTGAAATTTTCACAAACAGACGTCCAAAACATTTTGTGATTTTGATTTTGTGACTGCCTGGTCTACTAGCATTAAGGTAAAAGACAAAAAGTATTGGTCTACGCTGTTGGGTCTTCTGTCTTCGTTTTATAAACACGCCAGTTTGTCGAGGAGGTAAAACAATTATATGTATTTTTTACATAATAGTAGTAGCTAAAATCGATTAAGCCCTTGAAACCATTAAACTGTCATATTTTTCTGGGGGATTCGCCCCCTGGACCACTTTCGAAAGAGTTTAAGCAACGTCCGACAAAGCCTACTTGCTCTCGTCGGGAAATGAACATTCCCCCAACCTCTTAGGGACCTTCACATATTACGAGGCCCTCAAAACGAGTGGCACCGAGTTTCGAGAACCATGTATACTGAATGCAAACCAACTACACAATTTGGTATGATTGTGCAGGCAAGCAGTCAGACCGCGTCAATCCAGAGACTAAGTACTGTAACTGCGCGATGTATAAATTAAGATTTTGGTATATTAGTTCATAAGTTTAAACAAGAGGTTTATAAAGGCTGAATATATCAAAACATCTCCCTAAAATATGAAACTTTCAAAACGATTGAGCTGCTTAGCAGCACAGTCTGTTCATATGGATCTGAACGCACTCTGCTGTATTTTACCAATGTTCTCTCTATATTTACGATTCATTACAAATTACAATGTGCTGGCTTCACTGCATCAAATAACAAGTGGATGGCTCAACCACATGTGTTCAACTTCATAATAACATAACATGCGTAGGCTAATATGGCATTATATTTCAACGAGTGACAGCTTATTACAACACAATAATACAAGAGGCCTCTGTAGGCGTCTATAAAACGAATACCGAAGGCCTAAAAAACAAAGACTTCTAATTATTTGTGAGTTATCTTATTGAATGTATTTCATAATCATCATAAAACTATTGCCAAGTACATGTTTAATCATTTCATCTGAATAAAATGAGAAATAGGCCTATCAAGAAATACTTCGTTTTATAGACACCCAATATGGGTTTCTACAAAACCAAGACCGAAGACCCACGTTTTTTCTCTCTTTCTTTAATGATACACACCAGGCTGTCACAAAATCATAATTACGAGATTATTTGAACTTTTTTTTGTGAAATTATCAAGGGTCTTCGTTTTATAGACACATTATATGGGTGTCTACAAAAGGAAGACCGAAGACCTGAAAAACAAAAACCTCCATTTTTTTCTAAATTAACTTTTTAGAAGTATTTCGAAATCAACACATAACCATTGCCTAAAGTGCCTCTTTCATAAACTACATAGGAATACATGAATGGAATTTTTCCTAAGTTTTACAAATTTGGAGGCGGGGGGGGGGGGGTGCTCCCTCTACTCTATGCTCTTTCTAGTCCTACGATTGCAGCACATTTTACGGCCAAGCACGTATTGCTGCCTGCAACCTCTCAATGCAAGTAAATGTAGCATCTGTACGCCTAGGCCATTGTCCGGAATCTCTGTCAATTTAATGATTTTACTGTTCGTTGCAGTTCAAATGCGGCAGCCAATCTTTATTTTTTCCCCACAGATATATGTAGCAACTTCACATACCAGAACGATGGGACGTTTGTTCCTAACCTCGGCACGTGTAAAATTTCATGTACAGGATATAGGAAAACCTCATGATCTTGTATATAACCAAAAAAAAAAAAAAAACAAATAATAGGCCTAATAATAATCATACTCAACTTAACAAATAATTTAGAAAATAATCAATGATAAATTTTTTTTTCAAAAATTAATTTACAAATGATATAGTACAAGTATAACCATTTAAACATTTCTTTCTATATGTATTAAAAATATATATGTATTTTGAGCATCCCAATTACATTTACAAATAGCACTAGTCAATAATTTTTTTCCTTAAAAATACCTTGTTTTCTTAATAATAAATTTCACTGTACTCGGCACTCATGATTTTGCTGTCTGCCAAATAAAAATATAGGAAATTCAATTATAAAAGCTCATTTAAAAGGATCAAATAAGTAAGTAACTTTCAGAAATAGATCAAGGAAAAATGCGTCTGTAATATGTTTACTTATTCATATTTTCCTTGTTGATAAACCATCACTAACTAATCCCCAAAAAGTAACAAAAATACCTCTAATTCAAACATACCGTATATAAATAATCTGTAACATTAGCAAGTTACATAACACACCATATAAATTTAAACATGCGCTGTAATGTCAATGTCAGTAATTTCTCATTCTTCAATAGTAGGCTCGTGTCAGACTAATGACATAAAAACCCATATATTCGGACTAAAGAAGAACCTTGGCATCATCAGCGTCTAAAATTTTACCCATTCCTAATTCATTTCACTTATTGTATCCCTTTGATTGTATTTCCACATGTATTAATAGGCATACAGATTTATTTTGGTGTTATTATCTATTCTTTCATATAACACATTGTTTTCTATTGATTGGCTATTATTATCATTCTCATTGTCCTCCTTATTATCCAATCATGTACAACTGCTGTATGAGACAAAATGTCCGGTGTGGTCTAATAGGTATGAAACTCGCCTTGACAGCGAGAGATTGCAGGTTAAAATACTGGTTTCATACAACTAAAATAAAGGAAATATAGAATGGAGGCTTTCTATAGTTAACAGATATTTTAACAGTATTAACTATAAATATAAAATATTATTATTAATATTAATATTATTATTATTATTATTATTATTATTATTATTATTATTATTATTAAAGACGGTTCAAGTGATGATGGTTGGATGAATTGTATCAAACTAAACAACAAGGTTGGTTATTACTAATATTTTTTTTCTTGGTGTGTTTATTGTCAACTTTCGTGTATCAAACTGTAGGCCTATTCCATTTTTATTTGTTTTCATGTTAGTCGTGTACTGAGATATATTATTTCCGTTTTCAGATTTTTTATTAGCTTAACTGATAATAAGGCCTAGTACCATTAACTTAAAAACATGGACGTGATAATTAGTTTGTGTTTTTAAGTAAAATATATTTCAGTCAAAGATATGGAAACTTCATTGAAGTTGTAGTTAGAAGATTATTGGTAACAGTAAAAACCACAACACAATATCACTTCCAGCTAATAGTGTTATACATTTTTAACTGTCGGTGAACTCAATATCTTGGGCCTAGAATTCATGCTGATTTTACCTGATTCACATCCCCTTTTAGCCGCCCGGAGAGCCATTGGTCAATTCTAAACCGGTGGGTGCAAGGTAATTTTCCATTTGATGTACACTACATAAAATCGACTACCACCACCCCTCCCCCCACCTACGTGAACCATATGCAAACTGTGTAACTTTACTGACGATCGAATGGATATTGTAGACGGGTGATTTGCTGTTTATTTAGGTAGGCCTATAGTAAAACTAATACAACATGGTTTTATTTCGGTAACAGCAGCGAATTCTACTTTCCTCGTTATTGGATAATTTGTACTCTACTTCGCGTCGGTTGGCCCAATCATTCAACACCTCGGAAAGTAGAATTCATTACTTCACCTCATACCATGCTGTATTTGTATTTGTATACTACTATACCAAGGGTTCACGGACAAAAAATACTTTAACTTCAATCTATGAGAGTACTAGTAAAAATGCAACCAACTCATAATATTTATAGACGTACTTCCATTATGGATTATTGTGTTGTTTGAAATGTAGATGTCACCGTTTTTAATGCGTTTCTTATCCACAATTTTAGTGTGTTATTACCGTATATCATTGTTTAAAGTTGTCATTTTCCGTTCTGCTTATAGATGGAGTGCTTTAGAGAATTTGAAGATTGTGTTTTATCAAACGTAAATTATATAAAAGGTCTACAAACCAATATAGAATATTTTTACGAAAGGAACTATAGTAAGATTTTTGTTTTCATATTCTATTGTATAGACATTCACATTCCTCATATAACTTCCAAGATCCGTATTTACTTATTAACTAACAAAACATAATTTGGATATTTTGATATTTACAAAGCTTAGGCAGTCTTTTTGTTTAAAAAATGAAATTTCGTGTAATTATTGTAATATAGACTGTTAGTCAGATTAAAAATCTGGTTCCTTGAAACCGTTACGGTACATTTTCAAATTGAGAAATTTAACATTTTTGAAGTTCTTCAGTTATGGTAACGTACAGTACCCGCACGATTTACCTGTAATTGATGTAAATTATAAATATTCATAATATTTTTCTTTAGTTGGACTTGCAAAGATAGAAAGTACAAATGATATCCAATGGGTAAACAACAGTTTGCAACTTGTTGATGAGACTAAAGTAGAATTTGATGTTCAAGTTCAAACTGAAATAACAGGTAATGGCATTATAATGATTGTTACGTACATAATTATGAATGATTAATGACGGTTCGCTCTTATATGAAAATGAAAATACTATAATTAAAATGATTACATTAATAATAAAATGCAATAAGTATAGTAATAAATGAATAATGTATTATAATAAATTAAATCGTAATAACAATGATCATAATAACAGCAAAAACTGCAAGAAAACTAGCAACGGCATCAGCAACATCAGAAGCAGCAGCTTGTAAGTAATTTGTATTTATACACACTGGTTTCATTTTTCAAAAATCGTCCTCCATAACAATTGAGTAGGCATTTTTGGGTAGAAGCTGGGATCCACTTGATTTAGGGTTTTTACCATGCTGATTACTAATCTGATGGATCCCAAGCGAAATTATTTCATCTAAAGGTCAAAATGGCCGGTTTTATGCAGAATTTTTTTTTGGGGGGGGTGGGAATCTGTATTTTGGGCACTATCAGTCATACAGAGTTCATTTTAGGTACCAAACTGTTCGGAAGACTCCTGTTTTTATTTGCTATAATAGAACATTTCCCCAACAAAATACCAGGAAAAAAGTTATTACCAACCCACGTTTTTGGCCAAAACACCTGTTTTTTTAATAATATTCTTTTTTTCAGAGCTATCAAATGTTTCCACTTATTCAATGGTGACAAATGATAGCTGAAGTGACAAAAATGACAAATTATAAATATTTAAAAAGAAATTCTAACTAATAAGTTACGCATAAATATATAATTGATTTAACTTTAAAAAAGCCAGTTTTAATTTTGATAAAAAAAAATCCGAAAACCTTGGTAACTCTGTTAATATTTGCACAGGAGAGTTTAATTTGGTCTCATATTACTCAGAAAATATATAGTTGAAAAACACAATGAAATAAATATATATATAGAATATATATATATATATATATATATATATATATAGGCCTATATAATAGTTAATACGATGTAAAGTATGGCGCCACATATGTTCCACATAGATAATCGAAAATAGATTTGTAACACAGAATAAATCGATGTTAGTCGTTGACGCTTGGAATATAAAATTTTATTAAAAAGATATTTCGAACGCCCCTGCGTTCCTCTTCAGTCTTAGACGATTATTGTAGTCAACGACTATGTATTCAGCATATGTATAAAATTGTTCTACTTTATGCATAAAAATATATTTAATTTTATTATAAAAACATTGGTTTGGTAAACGTTTTTGCAAAAATCAGGAAATAATCTGTAATTTATTAGTATCTGTGTTGATTTTAGTGTCAAATTCCTCGAAACACATATTTTCTAAAGCTATTTCTTAATACGCAATAAATAATAGTAAATCAAATGATAATAACTTTGGTTAATGTTAAATTGAACCAAGATAAAATTCAATTTACTTGGCGCAGAAAATCATCAAATTTATTTAAAAGGCTTGATACTGGTTTGTATCAAAAACCTTATATATGAGAGGAATAATATTATATCTTGCGACACCAGACCTGCCATTTTTACCGATCATCAATATGTTTCAATTAAGCTTGATGGAATTGGAGAAAAAAGAGGCCCTGGGTTATGGAAATTCAACTCAAGCTACCTAAATAATATCACTTTTACTAATAAAATTAATAAAATCATTGATGATTGTGAAAAAAAAAAATAAAATGCCTTAACCCAATAGATAAGTTGGAAATAGTTAAAACAAAAGTCAAAGAGTATGCAATACACTTTGGTAAAGAAAATTTTTAAAAAATAAAAATTGTAAAAAAGAAAATCTACAAAAAGATATAAAAAAACTAAACGATAAGCTGATTGAGAAAAATGAAAACAAAAGAACTAACAAGAAACTAACAATTCCTGAACAACAATCTTGTGAAGGAGAATTAACCATCCATGAATGTGAAAATGCAGTACGAAATATGAAAACCAATAAAGCACCTGGGTCAGACGGCCTAACAGTGGAGTTTTATCAATCGTTCTGGCCCAAAATAGATAATTTGGTATGTAACTCATTAAACTGGTGTTTAGAAATGGGCCGCTATGGTACTGCACTTTACTCTCAGAAGTATGCAACTCAACGTCGGACCTTTATAATACTCCGCCGGTGGATTGTCAGAGTTTTTTTTTTTTTTTTTTTTTTTTTTTGTATACTTTCCCAACGATCGGCCTGCCAAGATTTAAGTAATAATTATATAATTTATTAATCCGTTTGTCGACACAAGTAGGCCTACAGTGGAAGAATCTATATAAACGAAAAAATAAGTTGTTGTAAAATGCAGACCCAAATGATCTTAGCTTTACAAAAATGCATCCTACCATAATATAAAACTCGGCACACTTTGGCATTAAAGTTTGAAATGTTTATAATGAAGATATTTCTGAAGTAGTTTTATGTATTTTATCGATTCTATTATGCCTATTTTCGAATAGAAAAAAATTGCAAACATAAAAATCTTTTAAATATGTTTATTTGTCCATGATATCTGCTCAAAATATGGATGAAATTGTATACTAATAGATACAAATGTATTAAACGTTAGAGTGTTTTTTTTTTAAAGTGCACATATATTTAAAGCATCCATAAACATACAACATATCACGAACAAACGTAAAATCACATTTCACAATTTACAATTTAAAGGCAATTTTAAATGGCCCAATTTGGCACTAATTAGGCCTATATTTTTTTAATAAATTGGTATGAACTACGACGTTGAGTTCAAGATTAGATGCTGAGCACTGTTGAGTGTTTTCCCCAGTTTACACAAAATTAGAATTTTACTTTAAAGACAATTTAAATGTTAAACTAGGACTACGGTATCAATCAGGGAACAGTGTAATTTCACTGTTCTCTTGTATCAATAAAGCATCTCTGAAAACGAGCTAAATACATAATAGTGTATGGCAACTCAAAACATATAAGATTAGGTGTATGGTACGGTAATAAGTAGTATTTAAAACAAATACGTTTATATAAAATTTGGCACTAGTTAATCCTTGAATATATAGAATGTACCTCTTTCCCCATCCCAAAAGCTAATAACATGCACATTATCGCATCCCTACATTCAATATAGTGTACACAAACCACTACATAGGTAACCTCAAGTGTTATTAAAATATATACTCTAACAATTGTCACCTACAACCTTGTCTTATCAAATGCAGTATAATATAAGATGGAATGGTATACTGTAGGCCTAATCACAAATATTACGCTTGATTTCAGGTGATATGTTGCTAGTTGCAGCTCTTACTAACCATACAACAGAAACCAATGAAGTTGTTAATGACAGTGTTGTCATTGCAGGAGTGTACGTAGAAATGTTCATATATTCAGTTGTGTTTTTTTACACTAAATCTACTTTTTTAGGTAAAAGATTTAGATGCTAAATTTATTCGAGAAAACTCAATTGCTTTTGAAATATTTGCCACGCACACACACACACCTGTCTCTTATACACATCTAGAAAAGATATAAAAATAGGAATAGGATTAATACTATTATAATAATATTGGTAATTAAATAGATGTGGTAAATGTTATCTTATACGTTTTTTTACAATTATTCAATTTTATATTTTGTTAATATTTAATTAAAAGAAATGAAATCAAACTGAAAAGAATGCCAAAAACAATACAAGACACAAGAAATATTCAAAACTAGCCTTGTCAATACACGGTTGGACCCCCAAAAAAGTCCTACAAAAGCTTTTTCAACGGTTTTAGCTACTATTGGATCACAGTAATAACATTAAAAATCTAGTAATATTTATTGAGCTATTATATAGTGAGAGAAGAGGATTCTAAAAATACCTAACACAATGGTATTAATAATTGTCAAATGTTGACCTTTGACCTTATTTGCTCATGTGGCATTTTTGTAATGGCAAATAACTCCGTAACTATGAATTTGTAGGCATAGGTGTAATGAAGGAAAGTGATCAGTGTATAACTGCCTTTCAAAATATACATGACACGACCATATTTTACAAGGCATGTCGGGCATTTTCAAATTCAAAATGGCAGACCTTTCGCACTGAAATTAGAATTCATGTCCTTTTTTCCAACAACCATGCACCCTTATACACCTTTTTCTAAAAAGAGATTGAGTGCACGTGAAAGTGCTCACGTAACTCTTAACTCGACTCATAGAGCAAAAGGTCTTACAGCTATTTCAGTTACTGATGGCCATTTTGGATGTCATTTTGGATGTCATCTTGGATTTAGTGATTACCTGATTATTCGATCACTTTATTTGGTCTCAATGGATGCCTTGAAAACTATTTGTAGACATAATGAATAATACTCCAGACTGAATATTTAAAGATTTACAGCAATTTTTTTTAAATTCGCAGCCATCTTGAAAAAAACATTTCCTATAATCTGACTTGCAATAGTTTAAAAAACCGTCTAAAAAGGTTTTGTAGGAGTTTCAAAAGTCAAATCGTATATTGACCAGTCTATAAGGCGTCTGCATAAACAGCAGAAGATCCCGGGTTTGAATCCCTGTTGAAGCAACTTTGTTTCACACTCGCAGATTTCTCTTCTTTAACGTTTAAGATTTATAAAAAATAATTATAGCATTACTTACTTTCTCCTAGACGGAGTCTTTATTATTGAAGTGATGCCTCTGGCCCTTATACAAATGTAAAAACAAAAATTATAATTAGTGCTGCAAATAGGTCTGTCTTCCTTTGAACGCAAATTATACATATATTGATAATTGGTTTGTTAACTTAATATTAGACATAAGTAAGCATAATATATTGATAGACGTATAAGTGAAATAAATTGTGGAATAAACTTCTTTCTTAGATTGGAATATAATGGACAGATAAAAAGGTTTAAAGTTTATCTCTATTATTTATCATGATTAAAAAAATATATATATATACATATATAATATTTGTAGGTTCCACGTATGTCTTGATAATATAAAATGAGTACGAATGCACAAAGTAGAGTCGTATATGTTGATTAAAAAAGCTTTACAAACTAGCAATGGAGAGGATAAAGAATATAGCAGTGACTAAGATAAATTGTAAATGATATGTATAATTAGACCGGATTATAAAGGGCGGTAACAACAAAGAAAATAAAGATAAACGAAAGGGCTAATCAGCCGAATGTAGGCCTATGATCTC